ATCCAACATGGCTGCCATTCTTTTTCTCTTAGGAATGATTACAAACCACCTATAGTGAACACAATCCAACATGGCTGCCATTCTTATTCCCTTAGGAATGATTACAAACCACCTATAGTAAGCATCATCCAACATGGCTGCCANCCTATAGTGAACACAATCCAACATGGCTGCCATTCTTATTCCCTTAGGAATGATTACAAACCACCTATAGTAAGCATCATCCAACATGGCTGCCACTTTTATTCCTTTAGGAATGATTACAAACCACCTATGGTGAACACCATCCAACATGGCTGCCATTTTTATTCCCTTAGGAATGATTACAAACCATCCTTAGTGAACAAAATCCAACATGGCTGCCATTCTTATTCCCTTAGGAATGATTACAAACCACCTATAGTGAGCATCATCCAACATGGCTGCCACTTTTATTCCTTTAGGAATGATTACAAACCACCTATAGTGAACACCATCCAACATGGCTGCCACTTTTATTCCCTTAGGAATGATTACAAACCACCTATAGTGAGCATCATCCAACACGACTGCCACTTTTATTCCTTTAGGAATGATTACAAACCACCTATAGGGTGAACATCAAGCAAAACGGAAAATATCTAATAACAACATTTGCACGACTTATTTCCTTAATAACCAGCCACCTGTTTTTGCTTTATTATATTATATCATATTTATTTTTACTCTTAAATTCATGTCACGTCCTCATAAATTCTCATTGTAGGCTAGTTAAAAATCAATTATACCTACATCAATTTGGAAAGGAAATGAATGACTTAGAAGGCTTCCTTTACACCATAGATAATATCTATTAACTTAGGCATTTTGCTCGCAGCCGATTCAATCGTATTAACAGGAACCAATTTCATTTCTAAACAAAGTGTGGAGGCTTTGTTTTGTAGTGAGTTAGTTAATAGGATTCTTATAAAAGAATCTAATGAGTTTTGATAATTAAAATGTTCCCGTTTTAAAATCCTGCTTATTGGCAGATGTTTCAGAGGTTTAAAGCAATGCACTGGCCAGGATGAATCTAGTATGCGCGACGTAGATGCAAAGATTCTGTCACAAATGATACTAAATAAAGTAGAAATTCTTCAATATACAAAAATATTCTTAACTTTACTGAACACTTGGATTCTGTCTCAAATGATGCTCTAAATAAAGTAGAAATTCTTCAATATACAAAAATATTCTTAACTTTACTGAACACTTGGATCTTGATCCACTGGCCAAGATAAAACTAGTATGCGCGACGTAGTTGCAAAGATTCTGTCACAAATGATACTAAATAAAGTAAAATTTCTTTAATATACAAAAATATTCTTAACTTTACTGACCACTCGGATCTTGATCCACTGGCCAGGATGAAACTAGTATGCGCGACGTAGTTGCAAAGATCCTGTCACAAATGATACTAAATAAGGTAGAAATTCTTCAATATACAAAAATATTCTTAACTTTACTGAACACTTGGATCTTGATCCACTGGCCAGGATTAAACTAGTATGCGCGACGCTGTTGCAAAGATTCTGTCACAAATGATACTAAATAAAGTAGAAATTCTTCAATATACAAAAATATTCTTAACTTTACTGAGCCATTAATCGTACGGATCGGACGCCTTTTTTACTTTCTTAGTTTCCGGAAATGGAACAGACTGAGTTTATTTTGGGAATAAAGAGGGCTACCTCACTCAATAACTGGCAGCTTTCATCCATGCGATATCACGTTCGGTTCCTGGACTCGGCATCACATGAGTGTAGAGTTGGTTAAGTCGAGGATTTTTCTATTTCTGTCTCAAAAATTGTTTTCCCAAATTTCACACACTAAATTCCAATCCAATATCGATCTGAATCAAACCAATTGATCATTTTCTACTAATTCGCTTGGGTGTCTACTAAAACAATGTCTCCAAATCGAGGTTGAAGATATTTTAAAGCGCGCGCGCGTGCTGTGTGGAGTTATAAAGCATGCAGACTTTGGCAAAACACGAGAGAAGTGTTAGGAGAAGCACGACGCGTAACAGTTCGAGTGTTCTGCCAATCTCCAAGGGTTTTATAACTCCACACAGCACAGCAAACAATTTTTTTATTTCTTTTATAAAATACAAATTACAATAACCGATATTTTAGATAGGAATGACACAGACAAGTGAAAGTGCGCGCGCGTGCTGTGTGGGWGCTTACAACCAATCAGAACGCGAGATTAATAACATTGATTTCATAATGAACTTTATAAAATACAGTAAATACACAAACACATCGAGAACAACCTCTATTCGGAGCCATAGTTTCGTGGTCAATCAAGCAAATTCAGTAAAGACCATTAATATTCGATACACTAGTGCTAATATTCGATCCCTGACATGTTCGATGGCAATTCATTGTGTCGGGGTATTGATAAAATGATCGGGCATTATTTCAGAATAAAGGTGTATCGCTTACTCCTTGCAATGCACATGTAAACTCCCTTATCAAACTGTGCAGGAAAGTTTAGAGAAGCGCGCAACAATAAATATTAATAGTCAATGATATGATAATCATTATATGATATTTTAGAGAAAGCTTGTTTGCTACTATACCTGTACTTTGGAAAGAAAGCCGAAAAGTAAGACGATCTTGCTAGCAAACAGCTCTAGCTTTGCATCCAAAGTCTTATCTTGTCTGCCCCGCAACAATCACAACACCGAGCCCACAAAAAGCCAGGTGTTTTTAGCATTTACCACGGGCTATAAGGTTTATCGATAATGCCTTTATCAGATTGGCCGAATGTAGTTGATAATTATCGGACAACCAACATGGTTGGAGATTTTAAGGGGCTGCTCTTTTAAACCAGACATGCCGGTGTGGCTTGAAGTCATTGATTATTAAATATCAAAATATTTTGAAATGAGGGGATACTATTAAAACAATACAAAAACCTTTCACGTCTTTTCGCCTTTAAAAAAAGATATTTTGAACAACCTTCTTGACGATTTAGTCTGGTGAAGGCAATAAAAGGTCTGAGAAGTGACATTCATGAGGGATTTTAGACCTCTTCTGTGGCACTTCACTGAATGGAGCCATTCAGTTTAGACGTAATGTTCTCCCATTTTAGATGTCATTACCTTGAATGAGTATTATTTTTATTTTTAAGGGTTGCGCATGAGAAGACACACGAACATTGATACAACTCAAACAAAGTATCCTTTTCTTAAGAGAATGACACGTAGTGCAAGCCTATTATTTCTCWACTACTGATTTTACAAATTGTTCACTTTTTCATAATTTTTGTTTACAGTACTAGAACCGTTTTTTCTCTCTATCGCTCGGAAATTACACGCCATATCTTAAAAAAAAGTAGTTTTTAATAATGTCATTTAAATCCTAAAACAGAATTTTAAAATGTGACGTCATGACTTTGTGAATAGCTTTGTGAATCTATGATCACGGCATCTAGTGCGCATGTCATCCATGCTACGAAGGCCATTTTTTTGTACCAACGTCCTATGCCGTTTAAACAATTTTTAATTAGAAAATGTCCGGCTTGGCTAGTCATAGTCTGTTGCCTGTTTAGCAATAAATCCATAGTTTGATCTTAAAAGTAAGTGAGAAATGTACGGTTTTTGCTTTGCAAAACGCTTCCCACATGGAATAGAGAGAAAATGGATAATAATGCCTCGGCAACGCAGTCGAAATATCAGGTCTGCTGGTCATAGCAAGGGGCTAATCATCTACGGTCTAGGGGCAGATTAACCTCTTCCTCAGGCTTCTGCCGAGCTTTCTGATCAGTTTGTAATTCCTCCCGGGATAGCGGTGTTGGTGCCGAAATCTCC